TTTTAATTCTATTTTATTTTTGTATTTTTGTTCTATTATTATTATTATTATTATTATTTATTAATACTGATGTTGTTGCTGTTGTTGTTTTTATACTATTACAGGGCTCGAAATTAACTTTTTTACTTGGTAGCACCGGTGCTCCCAACTTCAAATATTTCGGAGCACCAAAAAAATTTTAGGAGCACCAGAAAAAATTTAGGAGCACCCACCAAAAAAGAATGAGCACCGCTGCAAATTGTTTTTTAAGGGATTTATTGTATTTTAAAACAACATTAATAGGACTGACAAAAACCAGAAACAACTATCTAACTAATGCTGCGAAGACATTGATATTTGTGTGCAATAATTCCAAAATGAATGTCTAGTAATTAGAATAAAAATGACAATAATAGTAACAATGAATTCCATTTCTCATTATGATACTGCCTTGAATGTGCATGAATGTAGGTTATCTGCTATAAAAAGTCTGTTACTTTATGAAAAATAATTGTATATTTTACATCAAACAAAAATGAAGCATTGCAGTAAGAAATATTTATTTTGTACTGCTGTTTTTATATGCATGTCAATTTAATAAATAATATTTCTGCTACAAAACAAACAAAAGATTATAATAAATCATTCAATTCAATGCTGAAAGCTGCAAAGCAGTCATCAGTAAATAAATATAAAAATAACATACACCTCAAAAAAGAATAGACAAAAGAAAGTAAGTAAAGTCTCACTTCTATCACTCTTTAAAAGTTTTGGTTTCAGTTTTTGTCAATTTAAAGGTTCAGTCTGAGCTGATCTTCATTTTTCTGTGTTAGTGGAAAAGCAGGCGAGTCAGCCGACCCAATTTATGAGCAGGCAGAGCAGAATTCTTGCGCTAACCATCGGCGCAATACCGGTCTTTGTTATGAGCCGCAGTTTCAGAGTAAACTTAGTAAAGGCGAGCTTCTTTGGCGATGATATGTACAGTATTAGATTTGACTTTTAGCGGACATTTGTGCTGAACACGCAGTGAATGCAACGCATCAAGATTCGGGCACCTTCTCCAAGAAGCGCGTAATCGATTGATCTCAGCTGGCGGATCATTATTCACCACGTGACGTGTCATGATCACTTTTATCTGCGCCTCAACTTTAGGTGGGGTTTGCAAACCTGTGTGCTTTAAGTTTTTACTCTTCAGCCGTTTGCATTTCCCGTGGTCATCAAGCTCCCTCCCTGTCATCTGACAGCGGAATACCTTGAGTGTGACAGCTAATATGAACCAATATAGCGGCAGGGAAGAGCGATTCAGCACGTTTTTACAAAAAATCAAAACAGGTCGCACTACAACCATTATCTGCAGTCGCACTAATGCTCCCAGATATATTATGAGGTCGCATAGATTAATTTTCGGGCACATATGCGACCAAAATGGTCGCAATTTCAAGCCCTGTATTATTATTATTATTATTATTATTATGTATTTTTGTTATAATAGAATTTTATTTTCAATTTTCTAAACCAAATTGCCAGACAAAAATGTAATTCAGTGTTATAATAGTTTCAACAAGATGTTTTGTCTCATTTCATATAATTGTTTTTTTTTAAAATTTTTTTCAAATATAATGTAAAAATATTTGAGTGTGTGTGTGTGTGTGTTTGTGTGTGTTTGTGTGTGTTTGTGTGTGTGTGGGTGTGTGTGTGTGTGTGTGTGTGTGTATGTGTGTGTATGTGTGTGTGTGAATGTGTGTGTGTGTGTGAGAAAAACAAAACACCCTGAACAGACACGCACACAAACAAAACACCCTAAGCAGACACACACAAACACAGAGGATTCACTGGCTGTCACTACCTAGGATTCAAAGATGGAACTGTTTATCAGGATGTACTGATTCTGTTTTCTTTGACTCATTGGATGGAAATGCTGATTTATCATAGTTTTGTGCATAAGTCTGAATCAGTGTCATTCGGCTTCGAGATCTGTGTGTGTGTACCTTTGGAGCCGACGCAGCCACTTTGGCTGCCTCAGTGTAGCTGCCCTGAGAGAAGAGTGTGTTAAACTTGTGCGTCAGCAGCTCCTCTGCTCCGGGTAAATCACTGCGTAACGCCATGCGCAGCGCCAGATCAGCATTCTGGAGGACATTCGTCACGTAATTCACTATGTTCTCCTCCTCCACACACACCGACAGCACCTGAAAACACACACACACACATTAGTGAAACATAAGCAGAGAGAAAACAAGCCAAAACAATCCATGGACACCACTGTATGAAATAAATGAGTGGGTGTTTGTGTGCCCGTGTGTGTGTGTGTGTGTGTGTAGACATAAATGTGTTTGAATGTATGAGTGTATGTTTGTGTACAGACAAAAATGTGTATGTGTTTGAATGCATGAGTGTATGTTTGTGTGTGTGTGTGTGTAGTCTTTGCTTATGTGTGTGTATGTTTGTGTGTATTTATGTATGCATGTATGAGGAAATGTTAGTCAGTATTGTATAAATGTGTGTGTGTTTGTGTGTATGTAAATGCATGAATGTGTGTTGGTCTGAGTGTGTTTTTCTTAGTGACTGTGTATGTGTGTGTGAGTGTGTAAATAGACGAACATGTTAGTCTGTGTGTGTGTTTGTCTCAGTGACTGTGTGTGTGTGCGTTACTGTGTATTAGTCTGTGTACAAGTTGTGTATACATAAGTGTGTTTGTCTGTGAGAGAGTGTATAAGTGTGTGTGTGTGAGAATGCATGAGTGTATGTTAGCCTCTGTGTATGAACTAATGAATGAGCGAGTGTGTACCGTAAAAATGTGTGTGTATTCATGTGTTTGTGTGTGTCTCTTTGTATCTTACACCTACTGTATGAGAGCATGTGCTATATAAATGTGTGTGAGTGCGTATGTGTGAGTTTGTGTTAGTCTGTGTGTTTGTGTGAGTCTGTATTGTATAAATGAGTGTGTGCGTGTATCTAAGCGTGTGTGTATTGCATGTGTTTGAGAATACATGTGTTAGTCTCTATGTGTATGTGTACTTCTGTGTGAATGTGTGTGCGTGTATGTGTGAGTGCATCTAAGTTTGTGTGTGTGTGTCTACTTTGTAAATGTGTGTGAGATGAGTATGCATACGTTTGTGTTGGTCTGAGTGTGTGTTAGTCTGCAAGTGTATGTGTAAGAGAGAGTGTTTATGCATGAGTGTGTGTTAGTCTGAGTGTGTGTACCTGCCCCTTCTTGTTGACCCCGATGACCCCGGAAGTGCTCTCATGAGGAGCTGTGACGAATATGGTCTCAGCGCTGATGCGGTTCATGTAAATACACACTCCAGACTCCAGATCATACATGTGAAAGTAGCCGTATTTAGTGATGAGGTAGATCACGCCATGCTTAGTACCGATCTGAGAAACAAACACGGTGAGAGTAATATGGTTGTTATTAGAGCTGCACATTAAGATTTAATATTTATTATTTATTACAACATATTTGTTATATCTGTTCTAGAATAACTTTTCTTTCAGTTTATATATACACACACTAACACTCACCGGCCACTTTATTAGGCACACCTTACTAGTACTGGGTTGGACTTCTTTTGCCTTAAGAAATCCTTCATGGCAGAGATTCATCAAGCTACTGGAAATATTCCTCAGAGATTTTGCTCCATATTGACATGATAGCATCACACAGTTGCTGCAGATTTGTCGGCTGCACATTCATGATGCCAATCTCCCGTTCCACCACATCCCAAAAGCTGCTCTATTGGATTGAGCTCTGGTGACTGTGGAGGCCATTTGAGTACAGTGAACTCATTGTCATGTTCAAGAAACCAGTCTGAGATGATTCACCCTTTATGACATGGTGTGTTATCCTGCTGGAAGTAGCCATCAGAAGATGGAGACACTGTGCTCATAAAGGGATGGACATGGTCAGAACAATACTCAGGTAGGCTGTGGTGTTGACACGATGCTCAATTGGTACTAATGGACCCAAAGTGTGCCAAGAAAATATCACCATTATACCATTACACCACCACCACGACTAGCCTGAACCATTGGTTCAAGGCAGGATGATCCATGCTTTCATGTTGCTGATGCCAAATTCTGACCCGAGCATCTGAATGTATTTGCAGAAATGGAGACTCATCAGAGCAGGCAACGTTTCTCCAATCTTCTATTGTCCAGTTTTGGTGAGCCTGTGTGAATTGTAGCCTCAGTTTCCTGTTCTTAGCTGACAGGAGCGGCACCCGGTGTGGTCTTCTGCTGCTGTAGCCCATCTGCCTCAAGGTTGGACGTGTTGTGTGTTCAGAGATGCTCTTCTGCAGAGCTCGGTTGTATCGAGTGCTTATTTGAGTTACTGTTGCCTTTCTATCAGCTGGAACCAGTCTGGCCATTCTCCTCTGACCTCTGGCATCAACAAGACATTTGCAAACACAGAACTGCCACTCACTGGATATTTTTTCTTCTTCAGACCTTTCTCTGTAAACACTAGAGATAACTGTGTGTGAAACTAGCCCGTCTGACACCAACAACCATGCCACGTTCAAAGTCAGTTAACTCCTCTTTCTTCCCCATTTTGATGCTCGCTTTGAACTGCAGCAGATCATCTTGACTATGTCTACATGCCTAAATGCTTTGAGTTGCTGCCATTTGATTGGCTGATTAGAAATTTGCATTAACGAGCAGTCTGACAGGTGTACCTAATAAAGTGACCGGTGAGTGTATATACACTTGATGAAGTCAGAATTATTCACCTTCCTGTGAATTTTTATTTTCTGTGAAATATTTTTCAGAATTCAGATTCAGAATTTTTTCACAGTATTTCCTATATTTTTTCTTCTGAAAAAAAAAGTATTTTTTTGTTTTATTTTGGCTAGAATAAAAATTTTATTTTTTTTTAAAACCATTTTAATGTCAATATTATTAGCCCCCTTAAGCAATATTTCTTTTTCTATAGTCTCCAGAACAAACCACTGTTATACAATAACTTGCCTAATAACCCAACTTTACCCTAATTAACCTAGTTAAGCCTTTAAATGTCACTTTAAGCTGTATAGAAGTGTCTTGATGAACATCTATTCAAATATTATTTGCTGTCATCATGGAAAAGATAAAAGAAATCAGTGATTAGAAATGAGTTAATAAAACTATTATGATTAAAAATGTGTCTTAATTTATTTAAATCTTCTCCATTTTCTTTGATAATAATTCAAATATTACAATAGGGCTGATTACATTGTATTGCAGAAAAACAAAATATAATTTTTTCCCAAAATCGTGCATGCAGCCCCTAAAAATTTGCCAAAAAAAAAACCAATATCAGTGTTTTTCAGCACTGTGCAGCCCTAGTCGTCATTCTGCATGTGTAGTCTATCATTAAGGAATATTTTTGCGTAAAGTTGAACCTGCATGGCCACAGGGAAGTCCGTCTGCGCTTCCGGAGGGAAAAACACATCCACTGCTTTCTTAGTGAACGGCTGGTTTCCGGCCTGCGGCTGACCGACTTCAATGATGTGCAGCTGCAGAACACAAACACACAACAACAAACCCTGAGTTAACAAAACCTAACAAACCCAGCCTGGCTTAGATCAGGCTCAGCACTTTCACAATAAACATTCTGTTAATGGGACAGGGGCACGGTGGCTCAGTGGTCAACACTGCCACAGGAAAAAGGTCGCTGGTTTAAGTCTCGGCCTGGGCCAGTTGGCATTTCAGTGTGGAGTTTGCATGTCCTCCACTGTGTTGGCGTGGGTTTCCTCGGGGTGCTCTGGTTTCCCCCACAGTCCAAACACAAGCGCTATAGGGGAATTGAATTAACTAAACTGGCCGTAGTGTATGAGTGAATTCAAGAGTGTATGGGTGTTTCCCAGCACAGGATTGCGGCTGGAAGGGCATCCACTATGCAAAACATATGTTGAGTAGTTGGCAATTCATTCCGCTGTGCAGAGCCGGATTTAGGCATTGGCAATGTGGGTGATTGCCCAGGGCAGCATCTTGCTAGGGTGGCAAAAAAACAAACAAGTTCCCCAGTAAACATCATCTATGTCCCAGTAAGCTTTGAGATTGGACTTACTTTATGCAAGTGTCTTAACTTAGAGTGGTAATCCCTGAGTAAAGACGGGGGGGCATTCACATTTGTCATCTTTTGCATGAACAAGTTTGTTATTCTCTATGTGCAAATGAAACAACGTTGGTGAAAGCAAACTGATGCATGCGCGCAGAAAACCATTCCAGCACACCTTAAGGTAACGTCTAGATCGGATATGAGGCTGGCCGGAAGTGCGATATGCACATTAATATAGCATCATTTTTTTATGACACAGTATAACAATAATTCATATTTTTACAGTATTGTGACGGTTGGGTTTAGGGTTGGGGTGAAGGTAGACGTTAATAAAATACAATTTACTGGTTAATTTAATCATAATATCAATAATTCTCGTAACTTCAGGACGGAACCATTACCGACCTAGCAACAACCGCACCTTGAGCAGGCCACGTGAATCCTGATTGTTTACATGCACGTCGATAAAATATGCGCCACTCATGCGCTGCAAAACGAGAGCAACAGCCTTTTGTATTACTTTTATGACACGAAGTGTCGACACAGCAAGTTTTACAAGTTGACAAAACTGAAGTTTATATAATAATTTGATGATCTTTTTACTATAAAGCAGAAAGGAGGGATAATGAGTCAGGGAGGTCAGACTCTCAGCCTTGAGTCGGGTCTAAGATGAACAGATAGTTTTATAAAACTTTTTTAAAAGAAATAATTAGTATTTTTTTGCAGAATATTCTTAGCATATGGCTCCAGTTTTGTTTTTACATTGTTTTGCATTTACATTTAGGATTGATTTCTGTTATTTATTTAGAATAGTAATTGTATAATAATAATAATAATAATAATAATAATAATAATAATAATAATAATAATAATAATAATAATAATAATAATAATAATAATAATAATAATAATCTTAATTATAATATTTTATTATAATAAATATTCTAATATATATATATATATATATATATATATATATATATATATATATATATAT